TATTGGGCACCTGCAATGTTTTCAGGAAAAGCAACTATTTAGTTCACAGTAACTAAAGCGCACATGTGCAGGAAGGGAAGTAGCAGAAGACGGAGCCAAAAATCAGGCTAAGGTCAGGTACTGAAGGGCCTCAAGGTAGTGCCTGGTTTGGGCTTAGTGCCCTGGGTGCTGGGAGCTGGTGACGATCTTTCAGCGGGAATGAACATGGTTCTGCCCTTGGAGCACAGCAAGCCGGCCTCTGGGTTGAGCAGAGGCCTGGAGGCAGGTACCAGGGTGGGGGTGGGGGCAGTCAAGGTTGGGGCAGTCATGGGTGTTGCAATGGAGCTCGATGGGTGTGAGAACCGGTGAGGATTGGCACTTGAGTGTCCCTGAATGGAGAGGAGGGAATAAATAGTGACTCTGAGGTTTTGATCTAGGTGGGCGGTGGGACTGTTGATGAAACTGACCAGGGGAGGAGCATAGATGACAAATGTGGATGTAAATGGGTGAAAACACACATCCAGCCCAGAAACCTTTTCAGTCCAACATAGTGCTTAGCACCTAGAAGGCGGCCAGCGAGCACTGATACAAGTGAGCCGCACTGCCACCACCCTGTGCCTCCCCATGCCACGGCTCCCCTCCCAGTGAAGGCGGAGAGCTCTCCTGCGGGGTGGTGGGGAGAGGGAGCCTCCCTTATTGGGAGCCCCATGGCTCTGGCCCCTGCTCCCCATCCACAACCAATCCTTCCTGCAGATCCCAGCACAGAAACCCTTCAGTAGCCTGACCAAAAAAAAATCCCATGATTACTTTTCATTCTCTGCCTGCTTTCCTTCCAGTCTGCTGCCTGATGTCTATCAGGACCCAGGCTTGTGTGCCTGCTCAGGCTAACCCTTCTCCCCATAATGACATGAGCAACTTTTTGGCAAGTTTTCTTTTCTATAATGGGAAGATCCTAAAATTACATGGCATGGGTGACCTGCCCTGCCCTTCCTGTGTCCTTGTTGGTAAGAAGGCCAGCTTCACCCTCTGCAGGGTTTTCTAGCTAATCGGCGATAAGCTATGATTTTGAAAAATGTAGTTAACATTCCACAGAAAACCAACCCAGTTTCTGTAAAGAGTCAAATACTGTTGAATCAACTGTATGCAAATAGTATTGAAATAGCTTATTGGGGTCAGCTCCCTCGCCTCCCACTTACCCTCCTCCCAGTTCCCCTTTCACTGCTCTTTCTGCTGACCTAGGCAGTCTTCATGCAGCTTGAGTGACAGCCATAAGCCACTGGTCCAGAAGCATCTCGCTGGAGGTGTATTGGCAGAAGGCTGTCCCCTGGTAGTAATAAGGACATTTTACCCACATGAAAGGACCACAGAGATCATCCCATCCAGCACCACCATTTTACAGATGAAGAAACTGGGGCTTAGAGAGGTGAACTGTCTGGCACAGTTACCTGGCTAGTGAGGAGCATAGCCTGGGCTGGAACCCAGGCCTGCTGACTTCTACCCTCCCAAGGCCCCTCCTGGTGACCCATTCTGATATTTAGCAGCTTTTCCTTTTCCTGACCAGAGGAAAGACTGTTTTCTAAAGAGCTGACCAAGTCCCAGGCAGGAGACCCTCTAAAGGACTTGAGCTCCTCTTGCTCCTGATGGCAAATCCCACTCATTGTCCCCAGCAGACACTAACTTCTCCAACCCGATGTGACATGCAGGGGCGGGGAGAGGTCCCCACTGATTCAGACTCACTTCCTGATTCTTCCTGGACATCAGAACAAGTGTGGATTTGTCGTTTTCTAGACCTTAATCAGGGAAGTGTGTCCCTCCAGATCCCTCCCAAACCCTCCCCTACGTCCAGGGACCCTGATGTCACCCTGGCTGACCTGCAGGCACTGCCTGTTTGCAGGATTCCAGCCCTTTCTGTGACTGGCAAGCACCCTGGAAGAGAGCAGCTCTCCTCTAGTGGGGTCAGTACTGCTCCTGTCCGGGGACTGCATTTCTCAGAGCCTCTGCTCCTGCCTGGGGAGCCACATATTTTTTTCCTCTTGCGTAATCTGATTTTCATCTCTTTGGACGAAAATTCTGCTCCTCATTACCTCACTTTCTGCCCCAAAGCTCAGACCGAAGCACACACCCTAACATAGACAGGGAACAGGATAGAGTTCAAATCCTAAACAAATGTCAAGAGTGCCCCCAGCATCTGCCCCCAGGGGAAGGGGCCCAAAGCTTCCAGGTAGCAGAGTGGTCGGTGAGGTTCAGCACAGCACCACCTACTGGAGGAGAAGAGCAGGACACTTTGACCCTGTTAAATATGACATCTACACCGTGGTTCTCAACTGGTACCACCTGGGAACTTAAAATATACATGCCTGGGTCCCACTCCCAGAGAGTCCAACTGGCTTGTCGTGTGGCTGGACTTTTCAGAACTCCCCAGCTGACTGTGCAGCCAGGCTGAGAAACATGGCCTTAGAGGGGTGACAGGTGGAGGAAGCCTTAGAGACCATCAACACCAGGGCTAGGCCCCAGCCCCCGAAACCCAAATGTATTATTTTATATGGATGACCGTTTTTTCTGGACCGCATCCAAAGCTCTTTGTCAGATTCTCAGTGTGTTCTGTGTCCCCCCACAAATTAAATGTCTTCAGTCTACCCCAAACATGTCCCTTTGGGTGGTCCCAGGTCCAGTGCTCAGCTGTGGGTTTGACAAGCCTAATGAATAGTTTGCATATTTCTATAGACTACCACCATGAAAAATTAGGTCAGCTCAATGTGGTCACATTGACTATTTCGTGCTGCTCAAAATCTCTTCCTGGCGCTATCATGTGCCTTTGATTAATAAAAAATGAGAAATTTTTTACTTATTAAAAATTATTACTTAATTAATGCACTGTGTTTGGTAGGCAAAAACCTTGAAAATATAAGACCCATGGGAGAAAGTAATCAAGGGGTCCTTGGTGATTACAGGTTGGAAACCATAGGTCTAATACAACCCTCTTATTTGAGAGATGAAGAAACTTAGGCCAGAGAGGATAAGGGACTATCTTTAGGTCACACGGCTAGTTATACGAAGTTGGGACCCTCACCCAAGTCTCTCAGGCATGCTGTAGGGGGCAGAGAGAATGTATGCAGGATATTTTGCTGGAAACTCTCACTTGACACAATTCCATGGACCCAGACTCAGGAAATTCCTCACTGGTCATGGAGGTTGTGTGGGTCAGAGATAGTGCACACTCACAGAGAGTTTAAAAATCGATTGTAGTTCAGGATTTCATCCAAGCTAACATACCATCAATAGTAAGAGACACCATTGTTGTCTGTACTACTAAGAAAAAGCGCTGCCAAATATAATTGTAAGATGCCATCAATCATAAGATGTTGTCAATTTTAGAGATGTTAAAATGTGAGAAAAAATTGTGTACCATAGAACTGAAGAAATGTCACAGCTTAGCCGCTTCTGTTTTGTTTGGAGCAGCACAGCTGTGTGACAGTCTTCCCCCTGGTTCTCTTACCTGCTGGAGGTGCTATGGGGGAGAAAATGGCACTTCAAAGAGAACAGATTGTTTGAAAAGCAGAGATCAGTAGCAGAGCAGGTCCAGCCCAATCTGGGATCCGAGGAGAAAGTCCTGGATTGGCCCTCAGAAGACCTGGGTTTGGATCTCAATTCTGAAACTTCCCAGGGTGTCATCTGGAACACATTCTTATTCTCTCCAAGATTCAATTTCTTCATCTGCAAAACAGAGCTAATACGTGCCCTTCCCCGCTGCCCTATCCTCTCAGAAGCATTGCAAAGCTCAGAAGAGAAAATGGTAGTTGAGTAATGTGGGTGCCTAGTGCTAATATCAGTTGCTAAGAACCACCTTCCATTTGCTCAGTGGATGCCTGTGACTGTCCAGAATAGAGAGCTCTGAGATGACAAGGTCGGTCATGCACAGTCATTCTGGGGCCAATGGGAACACTTTGCAGGGGTCAGCACGAGTTCCGTGGGACTTCTCTCTTTTTGGCCACACTCAGGTCTGCTTGAGGGGGCGTTCTTCACCCATCTGAGGAAAAGGACTCATCCTTAAATGAGGCAGGGAGACAGGAGGCAAGACAAAAGTCAGCCTTTCCCAGGAACAGATGGCAGAAATGGTCAGAGGTCCCAGGGGTCCTGTCCCCCACCCATACCCTGGGCAGACACCCTACTATTCCTCATCTGGCACCTTGAGGACACACACTTATGCTGAAGTTAGCAGTCACAGAAAGAGTTGTTTAGCCTCATTGCAGAAAGAACCGAGCAAGAAGCCACCCAGCTCTATTTCCAGGTACACTTTCTAAGGACACACCTCCTGACCTGCCAATCAGCAGTGTCCTGTCCCTGCCTTCTTCTCAGGGCTGAAAGGGAATCAGACAGTTAGCAAAGAAGAAACCTCCCCTCCTGCTCAGTCCTCCTGCAGTCCCAAAGGGACTCTAGCTGTGGCGCACACGTCCTTTCAGCCGTGGAGGCTGCATCCTGAGCTCCCACCCTGGCCGGCCCCTAATTACCCCTCAGCAGAGGCAGGCCCTCTGGCAATTCACCATTCCTTTTGGGACCTTTGTTTCTCCATCTGTAGAACAAGGATGAACAACCCAGTGGTGCACCTCCCCAACCCCCCCATGGGCAAACATAGGATGAACGAGGCGGGGGCATGGGGCAGCCGGGAATTGGAGAAGAAGGCGCCCAGACACAGTGGCCTTCCCATAGTTGCAGCCGTCGCCCCTGCCTCATGGGGACAGGGATGCACAGTCATTGTGGTGAGAAGCACAGAGTTGGGAGTCACCCCGGATTCAGACTCTGTCTCTGCAACTCACTTAGGTGTGTGACCGTGGGCAGGTCGCCCAGCCTCTCCAACCCTCCACTTCCTCATCTATAAATTGAGGACCCACACTCTCCTCACAGGCTCTTTGAAGTGTTAAATGAGATGATACATCACAAGCGCCTGGGATGTAGTGGGCGCTCAGTACATGGTAGCTGTGGTACCCCAGCAGCCACCTGCTCTGATTTGGAGCTTCCTGCAGGTGGGTGGTGCTGCCGTCCTGGCCGTGGGAGTCTGGACCCTGGTGGAGAAGAGTGGCTACCTCAGCGTCCTAGCCTCCAGCACCTTCGCCGCCTCTGCCTACATCCTCATCTTCGCAGGCGCCCTCGTCATGGTAACTGGCTTCCTGGGCTTCAGCGCCATCATCCGGGAGGACAGGAGCTGCCTCTCCACGGTGAGTACCATCTGCCCCACTCTGCCCAGCACTGTGGCTGGAAGAAGGGAAACCTGCCCAGGGCCGCAGGGAGCCAGGACGGAGCCCCTCCGCGCCCAGCCCATGCAGTCAGGCTTCTGTACTGAGAGCCCCACCAACGATAGTGGCCCAGCCTGGATCTGAGGCCTGGGGAGGGCTGGGGCGGGGCGCTGCTAGCCGTGGGTCGGCTGTTAGCCGTAGTCCACAGGTTCTTAGAATCTAAGCCAGGAGAGCAGTCTCGGTCCTGGTGGCAGCTGGCAGCTCCTTCCTCCTCCACCGCCTCCTTCTCCTCTTTCTCTTTCTCCTCTCCTTCCAGCTGTTTTCATGGTGATTTTCAAAGCTATACAAAAATGAAAAGAATGTCATAGTGACAGTCCATGTCCCATCGCCCAGACTCAACAGCTGTCGTGTCAGAGCCCGTCCTGTTTCATCTGCACCCCGCGCCTTCCCCACCCTGACATCCCAGGCATCTCGTCATCTGTAAATATTTTAGGACGTACCTTGAAAACTTAAGGGTCCTTTTTTCACGTAATATGACAAGACCATCATCACACCTAAACCCAATTAACAGTACTTCCTTAATATGAAATAACCAGGCAGTTTCACATTTCCCCAGTTGACCCATAAACTGCTCTTTTTTTCTTAAGTTGGTTTGAATCAGAATCTAATGTACTTAAATTGGTCACTTTGTCTCCTAAGTCTCTGTTAGTCTGTGAGCTCCCCCCATCAACCTCTCTTTATTGTCCCTTGCAGCTTGTTGAAGGGACCAAGTCATTTGTCCTACACTTTCTCCCACTCTGGCTTTTGTGATTACATCCCTGTGATGTTATTGAATGTGTCCTCCTGCTGGTTGCATCTATAATAGAAGCTTGATCCGGCTCGGGTTTGAGTGCTTGGGCAAGAGTACTTCATGGGCGGTGGTGTGTGCTGCACAGGTTCCTTGACAGACTTCCTCTGGGAAGCTGGCTGTCGTCACCTGGCTCAGAGTATCAGGGGCGGAGGCCAGGGCAGACTTCCGGGGGCAGAAGCCAGAGGACTCGCCTAATTCCCATGCACCTGTTGCCAAGGCAGGCTCCCCCGCCCCCTCTCCTCCTGAGGTCCAAGGCCAGTGTAGGCAGGGGAGGCTACAAAACACCAGGACTTAGCAAGGCAAGGCCACGGCCAGCACCAGCCCAAGTCTCAATGAGCAGGTTGCACCTGAAAGGAGCCAGACAGCAGGAAGGGCTGTGCCTGCCCTACCCTGCCTCCCCGTGCCCACCACTGACTTGGCAGCCTCGGCCCTTGCACGTCCACCCAGGGAACAGGAGGCAGCAAAGGGGCCGTCCCCTGGAGCCTCTCACCAGCAGTGCCCTAGTTTTTTTTTAGCTCTGGATACAAAAGTGCCTGTGTACAGGCTCAGCAGGATGGCTCTCCCCTGCCTGGAAAAATTCCTTAACATCTGCTCTGAGGGATAGCCTGGAGCCAAGGTGCCGGCCACATGGATGGTGGCACACTGGCAGGGTGAAGTCCCATAGGGGACCAGCCACCAGAGCATGGGTTTTGACATGAGCTGTGTTTCTAGCAGTGGGACAGGTGTGCCCCAAGCCAGCCCATCCCTGCCAGCCATCCCTCACATGCCCTAGCCTGAGTCCTTGCCAGCCTGTTGGATATCCTCAACCTGATCAGTGTTAGCTGGATGACACAGGGTGTGACTGAGAGACTGGGCATGTGCTGTGGCCGGGGCAGAGGTTCCAGGCTTTAGGGGAATGAGGCTACAGGGACCGGTGCTCCTGGGCCCAGAGAGAGAACCCATCCCCTGCATTGTCTGGGACCCCGCCTTTGCCCTGCTCAGCCCTGGTCCCTTCAGAAGTGGGGCCTTCACTAGGCCTTGGGTTTCAGGCTAAGCCCCCTGGCCCACAGAGGCAGGCCGCTGAGCTGTGTGCTCACGGCTGCCCCTCCCTTCTGCCAGGTAATCTTGTGGGAAGACAGGACTCACCTCTATAGCCTAAGAGGGAAGACAGAGGCCCTCACTTGGGAACCTTCCTTCTCACTGAGTCATCTCTTTTGGTTCTAAAGGAACCCTAAGACCAGTGGCCCCTGCAGCACCAGGAAACAGCCCCTGCTTTCCACTAGGGGCACAATTATAACACAAATGGGCACCACTCACTGAGAGCCACTCCCTGCGTCCTGACAGCCGCAGCCCTGCAAAGTCAAAATAATCATGAACTCTCTGTGCCAAGCACTGTCCCAAACTCATGTATGTTAACTTGTGTAACCCTCACTGGCCCTATGAGGTGTGCATGTTGCAGTGAGGAAGGGGTGCAAAGGTTAAGCAATTTGCCCCAGGTCACACGGCATGTGAGTAGCAGGCAGTCTGGGCCCCAGGCCCGTGCTCCGAACCACCACACTATGCTGCCCCCCAAAGGCATTGTTCACCCCTCCATATGATGAGAAAGCTGGCTGGGAGATGTGGGGCGCAGAAGTGCTGGAGCTGGATTCCAGCCTGTTAGAATCACCTCCAAGAACCCACATCCCCTGGGGAGGCCAAGCATGACAGACGGCAGAGGGACAGGAGGCCACGCAGGATAGTGTGTGCAGAGGGATGCTGTTCTCTATCTTTGTGGATGTCAGTGCAGAGCACCTGCTTCTGAGATCTGGACAGGAACGAGGGAGGGCTCCCTAAAGGGCCCAGCCAGAACCCTAGGGCAGGAGACCGGGGGCAGCAGGGAGGGGGGTGACCCTAGAAGCTCCTTGCTTTCCAGTATGGAAATAACAGTGCACGTGGAAAGAGAGTGCCCAGTTCAGAATTCAGAAGGGAACTTGGTCATTGGGTCCAACCCTACATCTAAAGGTTTCCAGGCTGAAGGACACGGGGTGGGTGAGAGTGTGGGTCATCCTTAATGAAGGATACCCAGCATTACTGACTTCTGGGGAAAAGTCTCACATGAGAGCCCTCCCCTTGGCAGTCTCAAAGAGCAGAAGTAAAGCCTGAGGTTCCATAACTGATAGCGCTCTGCTCTCCGAGCCACCCATCACAGCCTCCCTTTCCTTACTGCCTTCTTACACAAGACCTAGCCCATCATCTAGGGCGACCTGTTATGAAAACAGGTGTCTGCAGCCTCTCCAGTCACAGCCTGACAATTACTTGGTCTGAGGTCTGTTCCCAGGGCTGTACAGGGAAGAGTGGCCGTGGGCTTGCCTGCAGGCCTGACATATACCACTCGGCCCCAGCTTCAGAGGGTCAGCAAATAGAGGGGCCTTATTATCCCACTAAGCCTTGAGGCAGGGCTGGGGGCACAGGGGTGGCTGGACAGGCAAAATCCCTCCCTTCTTCTCAGCGCCACTTTACCCCCTGCCTGCATTCACTTCTATCCCACACAGAACCGAAGTATTCTCTGATCCATCATCACAAACCAAACACATCAGAGAGGCGCCAGCTCAAAAGTGAGGTCAGGAAAATGCACGCACACACAAGTGCAGACAGCTACCAGTCCCGGAGCGTGGGGATGGGGGGCTAACAAGCAGCAAAACTTGAAGCCTGGAATCATCTTCCTTTGCCTTTCCCTGCTCCCCTCTGAAAGAAGCCAAGACTGACCTGGCCCAAGGACAGGACACAGGTGAAGCAGCAGATGCTAAGTAACCCACATCCCGGCCTGTCAGCCCTGAATATTGAGCACTTCACTGTTTAAGGAGGTGGCTGTAAGACCTTTCTTGTGCTGACGCAAGTAGGGCTTTGAAAACCCAGGCTCCAATTTAGAGGCAAGTGGTGTGGTTAAGGTAGTTTACAAGAGTTCTATGCTTCCTGGAGGTTCCTTACTTGGTCCCATTGCATTTTCTTCAACCCCTGTCTTAACTTCCTTTTGAAATCTTTAATCAGCTCAAGACTGGATGAACTCCAGAGGAGAAATGCAGTGGGTCTAGCTCCGTAAGCTCTATACACAGTGGTCCCCCAAGAGGCGAGGGAAAAATGAAAGACCATTCATCTGGATGGTGTGTCCAGCTTGGACCAGGAGGAGGGGGAGGTCTGACATCAAAAGTTCCGGAGAACTACCAGAGAGGGCAGCCCAGCTCCCACAGTCCCACAGTGTCCTGCCCTTCCTCCTAGCACATCTGCAGCCCCTCAGTGTCACTTTTCCAGAAGGAACTGTTCATCAGGGACAGGAATAGCACATCTTAGCTGGTGCTGAGATGAGGATCAACGTGGCATCGGCAATCTGCAAAGGGGGAAAGAGAATGGGGTTTAAATTATTCACACCAGCTCTTCTTTTTTAGCGAAGGCTGCATGAGAGAGCCTGATAATTCAGGCCATCTAAGCCGAAGGCCAGTGATCAGGCCTGATGCCACGATGATCAAAAGAAAGGGATATTTTTAGAGTTTTGAGCGTGGGCCCTGAAAACATTTATATCTTAGCCAGATGAAGATTATGATGGATGGTTCAGGCTAAACTATGTCTTTGTCAGGGGTTCTTTTGTATTTGTGGGATGGATTTAACAGTAAGAAGTTCTAGAACCAGTTTCTGAAAATGAGGGACCCCCACATAGCAGCACCTCCATCAGATACACCAAGACTTGATTAACTATGGCAGTAAGGTCTAGAATCAAGGGCTAGGGCTCAAGAGCAGGTTGTGCTGTAGCTTGCCCAACATGCTCTGCGACCTTAGGGGAGTTACTCGGCCGCTCCTGGCCACCTTGGTATCCCCACCTTTATACGGGGTGTGAGGGGTAAGAATAATGAGGAAGTACTTGGGTCTTAGGAGAAGAGCCACCACATTATATAAAGATCATAAATTGTGGATATAATTATCATTTATATCACCATCACTATGACCAAGCTCCTTTTAGAAGGAACCTACGTGAGTGGAATTATTCTTAGGGCCATTACTCCCAGAGTCCCCATGCTTGGGCTGGGCTGCTTCCTCTGTAGAAGCTGGTGCTTGAGGAAGGATGGAGGGAGCTGGGTCCCCGCGCCAAAGGTGTTTGTGTCCTTCCCAGGGCTCATCTCTC